TCTAAAAAATAAAAAAAAAACTATCAAAACTGTAAAGACTATAACATACTATGTTAAATCAAAACCGGATTTTTTAAAAAAATCATATTTTTTGTTATTTTATGGGGTTTTTATGGGAAAATAACATATTTGACCATAACTTTTGAACCGTAATTTTTACAGATATGGGATTTGTACCATTTTATTCAAAATTTAAAGGGCTACAACATACTAAATTTTTATCAAAATCTTTCAGGCCATTTTCGAGAAAATTCGATTTTTCCAGTTTTTTATGGGTTTTTATGGGAAAATCCCCATTAAAAATAAAAATTTCAAAAAAATGAAAAAAACGCCTAGAGATACCATGAATTAGAACCTACATACCAAATTTCATCGAAATCGGACCACAGGTGTGGTCTCTAGCTCTGTACACATCCAGACACACAGACACACAGACACACACACACACACACACGCGCAGACATCACTTCGAAAACCACTTTTTTGGGTCCAGGGGGACCCAAAACGAATATATCCACTCAAAACTCAAACTCAAAAATTTTGACGAAAACAATACTTTCTCCATATACTATGGTATAGGGGGAGAAAGTAAAAATTTGAATGAATGGTGTTTTTGGCCTCTGGGGACATCAAAATGAAAAAGTAAATCGGCCCCGGGTCTAGGTCTTACCGTGCCACCTACGGTAATAGCTACTTCCCTATAGGGAAATTCGCTAAAAACACTTTTTCATGATTTTTTAATTGTCTTTGAATTACTTTGGGCTAGTTAAAAGTGGAATTGATAACAAAAAACAATAACATTTACTATATCTTTATTGACACTGACATTTTGAAATACGGCAGTGTACGATTATTTTGTCATACAAGGTTGGCAACGCTCCGTGCAGTGGGCGCGGCCGGGTTAGCGACTTCCAGAGTTAGCGAATTCCGCCGCGAGACAAAATCGGGTTAGTGGGTTCCGGAGTTAGCCAATTCCAGACTGAGACGGTTAGCCAGTTCCAGAGTTAGCCAGTTCCGACACACGACCGAGTTAGCGAGTTCCTGAGTTAGCCAATTCCTACGTCTCATTAAAAGGGTATGGATGGGGCAACCAGAAGGACGACGGCCGCTGGGACGGCCCAGATTAAGATGGAATGACCAAGTGAGGCAGGACCTCAGGAGGTTAGGAGCAAGTTTGGAGGCAGCAGAGGACAGGCAGCAGTGGAGGCGCATTGTTGGCGAGGCCAAAAATCACTTGGGATTTGTGTGGCCACAGAGGAGTAAGTAAGTAAGTATGGTTTGATTTGAGTTATGACAAACAGGGGCGCCAACATCAGTTTTACCCATTATAACGGTAGCTTGTCATACAGAATATCCTGATTGTGGTGGCTGCCCTGATTTTAGAGTGCGCGCACATTTTTGGACTTTGCCTCAAAGCGCCCATACATTGGAATGCCCATTGGCATTGGAATGACGTCATGGCACCCTCAGCGCTGTTCGGTTGTTCTGCCATAAGACTACATGTATTGGGATTGGGACGGTCTGGCCGCCGTCCGTGCTGTCCTTACTAAGCAAGGGACGATAAAAAATTAGTCTTTACTGAATTGAATTATCCAATTATTTGATATATTTATGTTGTATATTGTTTAAAGTAGGTACTCGTTAAAGTAATTTTAATTAAATTTGACTGAATAATATTAAAATTTAATTTATCTATGTATTGTTGGGAGGGCGGCGTCCGAGAATCCTTATGGGCTAGCCGCCACTCCTTACCAGTAAGAAAAGCCCAATTAAAGGAAATGGAGACTACTATCCCCTGATCAAAACAGTTGCTTACAAGATGTTACCATGATTGCTTTTCTAATGTTGTTTTTGAGTTATGGTTTAATCACATCACTAATTACCTATAATGTAATTCAATTAAATAAATAAATAATAAAAGCAATTATCGCCATGCATGCAATTTACCCGCATTGCGTATTGCTGCAAATAGCCCCACCCCCCCTGTTGCAAATAGCCCTTGTCCTGTTGGTACCGAAATACAGGTACTGTACTCACATTGTAACATTAGTTATTGTATTGTAGTTGAATGAATCTCAGCTACTACAGCCGGTTCAAGACAAGGATGTATTCTGAGCCCTCTTATGTTCTCAATGTTCATAAATGATCTGCCAGATATCTTGGAAGGGGGGTGTAGTTTTGGTGGGTCCAGAGTTAATATCCTCATGTATGCAGACGATATTGTTCTCATGTCACCTACAGCCCAAGGACTACAGCACATGATTAAAAGACTCGAAAACTATTGTGACATGTGGAACCTGGTCGTAAACCTGAACAAATCCAAGGTCATGGTGTTTAGAAAAGGTGGCAGGCTAAGTGGAAACAATATATGGTGGTATAAAGGAGACCGTATAGAAGTAGTCAATCAATACAAATATCTAGGCATAACGTTTACATCTACATTATCATGGGAACATCATTTTAAAGAGAAAGCCAGGACTGCCAATTTAGCGTTAAATGTTGTGTGGGAGAACCTGATCACCAACAAAATGATACCAATTAACACTAAATATATTGTCTTCAACTCCATTATAAAATCAATTGTAGGCTACGGAGCACAGGTATGGGGCTTTAAGGAGAGTAAATATGTCGAATCAATACATAAACAATTTATCAGGAAGTTGTTCCGTTTGCCCCACAATACACCAAATTATGTGATTTATTTAGAGACCCTATCAGAAAAAATATACTTTTACACCATGAGTCAAAATTTAAACTACATTTTAAAGAATCTATCATCAGAACCAAACCGCCTGACAAAAATCTTAGCCGAACAAATTATAGACAAAAATATAGGCTGGAGCAGAGAATGGAGAGAGTTAGGCCTCAGTTGTGGGATTTTTATAGATTTTAGAATAGACAGGTTGGACAGACTGCAGTCACAGCTGATGAGTGTGGTTGAGGGGGTGAGGGGGAGGTGGCGGGCAGACTGTCTAGGCAGAGCCCGTACATCACTCTATCACCAACAATATCTGACCCTCGACCTTGACCTCGGCGACAGACATGTATTGTGCCAAACATCTGATATTAGCGTAATATCCTGGAGTATTAAAGCGAGAGCAGAACTTGTTGACCTTAATTTTAAACCTTGGATGACTAATAAAATCTACACATGTTCATTGTGCAATCTGAATGAAATAGAATCCGTTTTTCACTTTGTGTCCGTTTGCCCAATATTAGGTAATATAAGGAAAAAATATTTTAATACACTTCTTTTAAGCAAATCTGATTTTGAAGAATATTTGAATGGTAGGGATTGGCGGATATTGGCGGGTTTCTTAAGAGAAGCCTGGCAGTACAGATGGGCACTGGTAGAAAAAATTAATTTTTAAATCAAACATTTCTCTTGTCTAAAAGTGCCTAAAATTAGTTGTATATTTCTTTCCTTTAAAAAAAAGTAAATAAAATAGTAATCTATTTGTTTTATTCTTTTTATTCCGTAAATATAACTGTATTGTTGTTGTTCAAGTAGCTTATTATTATTTTCTCAGTGTCTATCGTATTATTTTGATTATTTGTTAGGTATATATACAGGGTTAGTAAAAAGTGTGGAGACCCCCTGTTATTTTTTTAACGGCCCATACTAGAAAAATTAAACTCGGCACACCTTTATGGCATGTTATGAAGTACTTTTTGGGCATAACCGTCACTTGGTGTACTTCCCCAAAATGGGGGATTTTGGGGGAAACTCAAAAATTGCAAATACAAAGACCTATCGAGTGACCCCTCATTTTGAAGGTCCTGGTAAAAGAAAACCAAAAACTAAACTAGAGGTCTTTATCTCAATCCAGTGAAAAATGGCAGCCAATTGAAATTCTCAGAAGTTAAATTTAACTTGCAGCTTTCCAAGTCTGGAGACCCCCTGTAAATTTGGTAGCGGCTCACACTAGGAAAACTAAACTCCACACACCTTTTTATCATGTTATGAAGTACTTTTTAAGCCTAATAGCCACTTGCTTACCAAACCCAAAATGGGGGATTTTGGGGGAAACTCAAAAGTTTTAAATGATAAGCCCCATCAAGTGACCCCTCATTTTGAAGGTCCTGGTAAAAGAAAACTAACAACGAAAACTAGAGGTTTCTATCTCAATCCAGTAAAAAATGGAAGCTGATTGAAATCTTTAGAAATCAGAAATAACTTGCAATTTTATATTCAATTGGCTGCCATATTTTACTGTGTTAAGATAGAGACCTATAGTTTGCGTTGTTAGTTTTTTTTACCAGGACCTTCAAAATGAGGGGTCACTCAATAGGGCTTATCATTTAAAATTTTTGAGTTTCCCCCAAAATCCCCCATTTTGGGTTTGGGAACTTATGAGAATTTCAAATGGCTGCCATTTTGTACTGCACTGAGATAGAGACCTCTAGTTTGCGTTGTTGGTTTTCTTTTACCAGGACCTTCAAAATGATGGGTCACTCGATGGGTCTTTGTGTTTGAAATCTCCACACTTTTTACTAACCCTGTATGTTGTGGTTGTTTTAAGTGTTATTGTAACTTTGCTGTGTTGCCAACCTGGCCGACGGCCCTTCCGGACAATGCCTAAAGTGTTTATTTTGGCAGATGCCCTGCGTGGTATCTAGAAATGTAAATAAAAGCAGCAATAAAGCACTTTTTCATTCATTCATTCATTATTGTATTGTAGTTATTTATATTGTACTGATACTTGTCCTAACAACTGATGATACTGATAATTTCCTTTAGTACCTACTAACGCATCACTATTATAATAAAATAAAAATTTGTATGAATACATTTTTTTTTCTTCAGCCCTCTTAAAGAACTGTAAAATACTCTTTTTAAGTTCCAATTAAAAATATATTTTAAAGATCTAATTACATCCTAATAATAAAAACTTAGGTAGTCTAACATTGAAATTTTATATAACATGTTCCAGAAATAACAGATTTCAGCAGCGTTGTAGCAGGGTTTTAGTTTCTTGGATAAATGTAACAATTTGCAGGTAAGCACACTGGACATCAACAAGGGGTTTGTACTGGACTTGCAATGCAACCCAGAGTTACCATACTTGACTGTGGCTCGGTCTGATGGAGTTCTACAGATAGTTGCTGTGAACAATGAGCAAGTGTTTACCCTCAACGAGCTGCTGCTCTGCTCTGAGGAGATAACTGGAGTCTCCTTCAACAGGAGTGGCACTCTCATTGTTGCTGCCTCCTACAAAGTTGGCAGACTGTTTGTTATCCAGGTAGCTTTATTGGAAACTAAAAATAAGGATTAGAACTTGGGCTACATTTACTACATTTTTGGCTACCCTGATCTCAACGCGATCAAGTTAACATCTTGGGATATGTTTTTTTAGCAGAAATACGTCTTGATCCAAAATAGCATTGCAGTAGGTAGCATGCATCTATCTCCTAAGGTGTGGGTGTGGTTAATACAGGGCCATTTTACCGAATAGCCACGGTAGGCACTTGCCTAGGGCATGAGACAATTGGCTTTTTTAGGGGGCACCAACAAATTTGAAAATTTAAAAAATGGGTGGTTGTATTTGCATGATTGTCGTAAACTTCCTGATAATCCCTTCCGGACATGTAGACATCGTAACGGTCTCCCCCGATTGAGGCAAATATTCTGACTATTTTCCACGGTCGAGTAGACATAATTATTACCTTCAATGATCGCGGCAATATATGAACATATCCCGCGGTCGCGAAGAGATCATCATCGTCTCGCGCGATCGCGGCATAATTCTGATCATCTCTCACAGTCATGTAGAAATCATTATTGTATCTCCCGCGGTCCTGTAGATATCGCAATCATCTCCCGCGGTCATGAAGACATCGTAATTATTGTTTCCCACGATTGCGGCAAAATGTTAATCATTTTCCACAGTTGTGTGGAGATCATCATCGTCTTCCACGATCGTGGCAAAATTCTTGCTGTTTCCTAGGTTCGTGTGGACATTGTCATTGTCTTCCATGATCGCGGCAATATTCTGATCATCCCTGGCGGCTCTGTAGATATCATCATCGTCTTCTGTGATTGCGGAAAAATGATAATCCCTCGCGGCCGTGTGTAGACATATTGTCGTCTCCAGTGGTCGCGGAAACGTCACTGTTGTCATTCGCAATGGCGGTAAATTTAAAATTCCAGGTGGATATACAAAATTCACGCATAATTCCCGGTTCAAAAAAACTTAAGCATAATTCCCGGTTTTCTCGGTCAGTGGACACCCTGAATATATATTGCAAAGGGGCGCTAGAATTAGTTGTGCCTAGGGCGCTGACAGGGTCAAAAAACGGGCCTGGGTTTATAAAACTTATAGCATCGATGTGGGTAGATACAACTCTTGAAAATCAAAGTGGAGGCAGGGCATTTGTTTAGGCCTTTTGGGGAATTATCATGTGAAACTAATTCCACAACCCAGATGAAGCGATGATACCTTAAACTAGAGTTTTTATTAGGTGTTAGTAAACACAAACTTCAGCAAATATACTTTACATTCCATTTGTATAGTAATCGGTACCATACGCTTAATTATAAGAATGATAGTACTATAGTAGAAAGGATTTTGAAAACTGTTTAATTAATGCTTACTTTAAGTTTGTGGTAAGTAATCTGTACAAATACATTATACGTACTGTACTGATCTGTAAATAATACATACTATGTGATCCAATGTTTTTGTTGGTAGGGTCTAGTTGGCACAGGAAACAAGATCAATGTTTTGAACCATCAGCTAAGCCATGAACCTATAATAAACATGCATATTACAACAAGTTCTAACCCGAGGGGTGGTGAGGAACACAGGTTGTTTGTGCTGACCAAGCATTACCCAGCCACTGATGTCGGCTCCCCCAGTGGAGACACTGTAGTGGTGTACTCTCTACCTAGGCTGGCTGTGGAGAACAGAGTATTGCTCAACACTAGCTACACTAGTCTGGTGTTCAATGGTCAACTGTTCATGGCAGCTCCTCATGTGTCCCGGCAGATTCACTTCTTCAACCCAATTGACCTGATGGAAGAATCTGATACTACGGTAGGGAATCAACAAATCACCTTTAAAGATTCAGACTCTAACTGTAACTTCAAATTGGAGATCAGTTACGGTATAGAATACATTTTCTTTTGGTTTTTGGGATTTCACTTGCTGACTTGATTTTTTATGGTAACCAATCATCAGCACTGTAGCTAGGAACAAAGTGTTGTTTTATAAAATTTATTTAAATACAGTACATTGTGGGAGTGTTTTTAAACAAGGTTAGTGAATAAAAATAGCTATTTGTGTATTAAGAGCGCCTCGTATGGTGAAGCTTTTGCTGCTGAGTGCGACCATCCATTTTGAGACCAATTGGTCACGGTATTCACCTTAATGTTTAAATTCCATTCAATGGTTAAATTTAAATCAAGATTGATTCTGGAATCCATTGAAATGCCATTTTGTTTCTGGCCCATCAACATCATGGCATTGATGCTAAGTAAACATTGGCACCCAAGTCTGTGTCATTTGTTTTCATATTTTAATGTTATATAAATAAATTGTTTTGAAATCCTTTAATGTATACAATTTATTATGTGTTACTTTATGCTATTATATTTGCATGGCATTTCACAGTTTCTATTTTGTACAGGAGTGAAGTACCTAATTTTTGGGGTTTAATTTTACCTAGTTTAAATTGATTTATTTTGTACTGTATTTGATAGTTATTTTTTGACAGGATGGTTTGAAAGTGGTAGATATTTGGGAGAGTGGACACAAAATTAGAAGGTTTGACATTGGTCTTGATAAGAATCATGTCTGCACCTATGGATGGGACGGACTGATATTTATAAGGTCCTGTCAAGCTGTGGATGCAAAGACACCGTTTTGTACTCTGGCACCCCACAACCGATTCAACCGAGGAGTTGCGTTAGCTACTATGGATTATTGTGCCAAACATGTTGTATCACTTGGCAAAGAGGGTAACCTGGTTTGCAGTATAGTTATGTAAGTAAGAGTTTTTTTTTTTGGTCTTGCACTTATGTTTACAACTTAAATCATTAGTTAAAATACAATCATTACCAGTAAAATATAAAATAGTAAAAACTATAGAGAAATCAATGTATTTTTTTACAGGATAGTTTGTTTCATAAAGAACAATTGTCTTAGTTTTATCCTGTCAAGCTATGCACTTCTCATTCTTTAGTTTGTTAAGTATTGATGTTAAATATTAAAACACACAACTCAAAATACTATACAGTATACACTTTGAATCTCAGTTCACATTTAGGGGTTGCAAGGGATAATGGGTCACAGTTTTTGTTCACCAATTAAAAATACCCCTGCCACAGCAAACCTGCACACTAAGCGAATTTTAATTTGTCTGATTGGACTTTTACTTAAATACACCCATAAACAAGTAATATTTTTCCCCTATTTAAATAGCATTAGACTAAACGAGTACTTAAGTTTGCTGCTATGGGGAAGGGAAAAAGTGTTTATAACCACATGTAAATAGTATTGGAATAAATAAATAAATTTGCCAAATTAGATCAAAATATATCCATAAACAACAGTTTTCCTTTCCTCTATAAGATTAACATGGGAATTACAAATGTACAGGTTTTTTTTTTAATTTTCTCCATAACCTTTAATTTACTGTACAACAGTCATTCAGTATACTAAATTATTTGTTTATAAGCTCTATACAATGGCTGATGAAAATTGGACATTCCTATGTTTAAAAAAAAATACCCCGCCGCAGCAAACCTGCCGACTAAGCGAATTTCCATTTATTTGAATTGGTTTTCAATTAAGTTCAAATAACATTGGGTTTAACGAGTACCTAGGTTTGCTTCTACAAGGAAACTAATAGAGTTTGTTTTTTAGTAAAGTATTAATAGTTTAGTATATGATAAATAAATTTGCCAAATTTGATCAAAATATATCCATAAACAAGCAAACTACAAAATTTTACAATATTCTCCATAAGAATGACATAAGAATTTGAAATTTTAATATTTTTTTAATTTTCTCCATTACCAATAACTGTACAAAAACACTATGATATACTAAATTATTTTTTTTCTCTCTTATATAGCCTATAGAGGTCTATAGAGAAATTGGGAAATTTTGTGTTTTGAGGGTCAAAAATGAGAAAAACCAATTTTTACCCCATAAAACCCCGTTCCCATGGTCCGATCATGCTGGTTTGCAAACTCATTCAAGTTTATCCTGCTTTACACCTTTAAACCAAATTTAATCAAAATCGGACAAAAATTACTCAAGTTATCGTGTTCATGGACACACATATAACTCTCTCTCTCTCTCCCCATCTCTCTCTCTCTCTCTCTCTCTATATATATATATATATATATTGTATATATATATAATGTATATATATATACAGAGCTAGTAAAAAGTGTGGAGACCCCCTGTTATTTTTTTAACGGCCCATACTAGAAAAACTAAACTCGGCACACCTTTATGACATGTTATAAAGTACTTTTTGGGCATAACCGTCACTTGGTGTACATCCCCAAAATGGGGGATTTTGGGGGAAACTCAAAAATTTCAAATACAAAGACCCATTGAGTGACCCCTCATTTTGAAGGTCCTGGTGAAAGAAAACCAACAACGTAAAATAGATGTCTTTATCCCAATCCAGTAAAAAATGGCAGCCTATTGAAATTCTCAGAAGTTAAATTTAACTTACAGCTTTCCAAGTCTGGAGACCCCCTGTAAATTTTGTAGCGGCTTACACTAGGAAAACTAAACTCCACACACCTTTTTGGCATGTTATGAAGTACTTTTTAAGCCTAATAGCCACTTGCTTACCAAACCCAAAATGGGGGATTTTGGGGGAAACTCAAAAGTTTTAAATGATAAGCCCCATCGAGTGACCCTTCATTTTGAAGGTCCTGTTAAAAGAAAACTAACAACGCAAACTAGAGGTTTCTATCTCAATCCAGTAAAAAATGGAAGCTGATTGAAATCTTTAGAAATCGGAAATAACTTGCAATTTTATATTCAATTGGCTGCCATATTTTACTGTGTTAAGATAGAGACCTATAGTTTGCGTTGTTAGTTTTCTTTTATTATGACCTTCAAAATGAGGGGTCACTCAATGAGGCTTATCATTTAAAATTTTTGAGTTTCCCCCAAAATCCCCCATTTTGGGTTTGAGAACTTATGAGAATTTCAATTGGCTGCCATTTTTTACTGAACTGAGATAGAGACCTCTAATTTGCGTCGATGGTTTTCTTTTACTAGGACCTTCAAAATGAGGGGTCAATCGATGGGTCTTTGTATTTGAAACTTTTGAGTTTCCCCCAAAATCCCCCATTTTGGGTTTGAGAACTTATGAGAATTTCAATTGGCTGCCATTTTTTACTGAACTGAGATAGAGACCTCTAATTTGCGTCGATGGTTTTCTTTTACTAGGACCTTCAAAATGAGGGGTCAATCGATGGGTCTTTGTATTTGAAACTTTTGAGTTTCCCCCAAAATCCCCCATTTTGGGGATGAACACCAAGTGGCGGTTATGCCCAAAAAGTACTTCTTAACATGTCATAATGGTGTGCCGAGTTTGGTTTTTCTATTATGGGCCGTTAAAAAAATAACAGGGGGTCTCCACACTTTTTACTAACCCTGTATATATATATGTATAAATTTGAACAAATGGTGTTTTTGACCTCTGGGGATATCAAAATGATAAAGTAAATCGGTCCCGGGCCTAGGTCTTACCGTGCCACCTACGGTAATAGCAACTTCACTATAGGGAAATTCGCTAAAAGTTGAAAAAAACCAATATACAAATTTTTAGATGTTTGATGGTTCTAATTTAATATGGCAAAATAATTGGTAAAATAAATAACGTTTGGGTCGTTTGGGGTTTTTGTCGTTATGTATTGTGGGCCTTTATGCTTTATGTTGTAATTTTATGGTATGTTTGGTCAAGATTGAAAATGTATTTAACAATTTCAAACCGTTAAATCAATGATATCAATCATGTTAAAATTGAATTATGTAATTGATACAATACTTAAATTCTTTCAAAATTATTATAAACATATAAACATTAATATTATTAAAGGGAATTAAAATAGCCATTCTGTAACATTTCATTTTAATGAATTGAACCATTAAAAATCAATACATATAACTGATCACCCTTTTTAGAATATTTTATTTTAGAGACAAGTTTTCAAAAAGTGACTTTTAACAATAATTTTTATCTATTAGCAACTCACAATCACACTTCATAATCACTCACACACACTCTCATCTCTCTCCAAACTCCCTTTTACCGCGTCTTGATTGGGGAAATGTTCGGATTGAAATTTTGCTGATATTTACCTACCTTCTCCCTTCACCCTGCTTGGTTCGGAGTCTTGATCGGGAAAAGATTGATAGTGTGTCACCACCTTAAGTCATTCCCTAAGTTAAGTTTGACTTGGTAAAACAGATTGTGTTTCCAGCAGAATTCAGTAATTTAGATCAGCACGATCTGTAGGTGGCTAACATCAACTACGACGATTTTGATACAAATCTGGCTACAAATTTAACATGGGGATGGAATGTCTAGTTGTATTGATAGTCAAAGCTAGTACTTTATCTGGCTGGTTCACATACTCATTTTGCCAAATTTCATCAACATCGGACCAAAATTTCTCGAGTTATTGTGTTTACAGACACACACTCACATACATATAATGTGTATTAAAATTTGAACAAATAGTGTGTGTGTCCTCTGGCGTTATCAAAATTAAAAAGTTGGTCTAGGGTCTAGGTCTTTTCCTGCTACCTACGTACTACGAACATTAATAGCTTCTTCCCTATAGGGAGATTCGCTAAAAGACATTTAATAACAATTTATATTAGGGACATTGTTCTAATAAACATCAATAAAGTAGTTATTAAAGCATGGTCAATTGGTACACAAAATCTATTTACAGAAAAAGTTGTGGACATAAAACAGAAGATCACATGATTAACACTTCCAATGAATCTTACTTCTTACAGAAGCCAACAGCTTTAATAAAATCACCCACAAGTAAGTAAACAGGATATCTATTATATCATTAAAGTGATACAATCAAATTTTATGTAAATGGTTAGGGCCATTAACCAAATAAAATTATAGGCATATGGCACACCAAAATGAACATAGTGTGTAGATATGCCGAAAAGTATTGGTATGAACAAATTCTCTTAGGGCTCTGTCCCATAGGCCGATTTCCAAAGGGCTACACCTTACACGTTTAAGAAGTTAACCTTATTCGACTAAGTTATCAAAACAGCTGGTCAATGAAATTGACAATAGTTTGTTTATTTACATTTTTGTTTATTTATATCATTATTTACTTTTATGTTCAAAGAGGTGCGGTAAATGAACACTGATGCTATGTCTAGCTGTTTGATACAAGTAAGTGCTTTAAGATGTTTGATAGACGATGCATATGAGATTAAAAAACACGTCTGTTGTTCGTTCAAGAGGTTGGGTCGTGAAAGAGAGCGGCGAGTTCAGGTACAACCATATAGTTCGGCCAAAGTTTGGTTAGTTCTAGGCGAGGGGGTCGGCGGGGGTACTTTTTTTGTTAAAAAATTTTTGTCAGCACTGCCAATAACCGGTAACGGAATGTTTTAATTCGGATAGTAGCCACCCGTCCGTGCGCACAGAATTTTTGGCCGAATTGTACCCATGTCGGCCATCGCAGGATGTAAGGTATGAAGGTCGCACTGTTTTTAACATTCCTTCTGATGAGAATTTCTTGAACTTGGGCCCTTTATATGAAATATAAAGTCAAAATTAATTAAACTGTGGCTTCTGAATTGTACACCCGTGAATTCACGGGATAATATCACCAGTTTACGCCTTACAAAAGTTTGTATTAGGTTTTCCAAACTGTTAAAATATTGATTGATATATTTTATGGTTTAGTGATTTTAAGAATACCCTTTACTCTTTACAGTACAATTTAAATCATCTCAATCTTAAAAATAACATTCAAGTACACAGATCAAGTTAAATTAAAAATGTCTTTATGTGTTTCTAAATATTTGTTTTAACTTTAAACTATTTTGTAGGATTCCAATAAATACATTGTAAAGTCTTAGGTTTTGTATGTAAGAAGTTTAACAATGGTTTCAGGTAGTCCATCTCATCCAAAAACTTGGCTTGAGACTCAAATTCACCAAAAGCTAAATTTAGAGGCCAGTGCTGCTGCTCCAGAAATTGAAAATATTTTATCATTGTTTAAAGAAGTCCAGAAAGAGGTAAAATAGTAATAATGTTTTCCAATAACTATTGCATGTTTAAATATGTCTAGTGGATTGTAGAGGAAAAACCATATTTTCAAGTCTTATTTTGAAAACTATAAATTTCTTAAACTTGCTATTCAAAGTCAAAGTACCGGTAATCTTTATTGCCACATGACGTTTTTTTCAATGCTCTTTTCACAGCCAGACAAAACAGGTGACATTGTCAAACAATACTAAAATAAACTAGCTTATGGTAAAAATAAAAATTCACTTTGAGTTGTCTTCAAGAAACTGATTTATACCGTACTATAATAATAAAAAAATCAACTATTTTTTCTTTAAAAGATACTAATACTATTATTGATTTGTAGTACCCTGGCAAGTTGTTAAAATTTATTTTACCCATATAAGAAGGTGTCCTTCCACAAGATTTAATCTATGTACTAGTGTACCTGTTTCTCAAATTCGAGCAATTGCGAAGTATTAAAGGTGTTATATTAAAACGAAAACAGTCATAATTTCCGATGACTTTAAAAGAGTCGATTTAAAGATTATGGAAATACTAATGATGTGCATAACATTTCGATATAATCAACATTTATTGTAAATATCTTATCATTTTTCAAAAGCTGATCTTGTTTTTTAGTGTTTTCTACAAATGTTTCCCACTCATAGCCGCATTAGGTTGTCCCTAATAAGGATTATAAATATATAAAAAAAACATTATTTCTATTTCTTCTACTTGGTGGTGTTCTATGACTTTCCTATGTTTCCATAGTTTGCAAATCGGCTCTTTCAATGATTGCTCAAGAAATGCAGCACAGTGTTAATTCAGTTTTCACTTCAACCAAGTCAGTAAATGTTTGTAGCACACGTTTCCTTAACCCTTTCGCCGTCAGCTATTTTACTTACATATATGCTAAAAACGCCAAGGCCATTTTTTATACAATTGCAGTGTTGCAGAAAAAATAGCTCTTACTTTTTTATTTGTGAAGGGATTTTTTGTTTTGTTTTGTTTTGTTGTAAATTAAATTGCCTACAAAATGATATAAAATATAATAGTAACAAAACATTTTTGAAAAATCTAAAAATCAAAAATATTGCGCGTAATATGTAAAAAAATATAAAATTTGCACTTTGACTTACAATAATTACATTCCAAAAAAATATTTCATAGTATTCAGTGTTATTTCCTGAAAGTACATGCAGTTGTTAGTATCTTGTCTAAATTTCAAAGTCTTACCTTGAAAAACAAGGTGGCAATGCAGATTTATATTTTTGTCCGCAAAATCGTCAATTTACATATTGATGCAGCCTACACTAAACAAATTCAATAAAACACTGTTCATTTCAACAAAAAAGTTATATTCTTGAGCAAAATACTTGAATAAAAACTAAAAACACCTTTCTTATGAAAAAAAAACCACTAGGCCCTAAAACTAATATTTTCAAACAAAAATACAAACAACAGATGACACAATCTCGTTGTTTCACATTGTTTACCAGACAAAACAACAGATGACGCAATCTTGTTGTTTCACGTTGTTTACGAGACAAGTACTATTGAAAATCAAATCCATAGAACACCAAACGTAGTTTATCCATGAAGCCCAATGCCTACTAAATTGATTCATGTATAATCTGTGACATCTGGATGGGATATAAGCTTAATAAGATTAATATAAGATTAATCGGATCGTGGCGGCTAAAGGGTTAATTGCAACTAAAATATTAACAGCAATTAAATTATCCAGCTGATCATAATGTAAACAAATATGTTCTTCATAGGATAACATGGGAACCTTAAAAGCCACTGGGGCAGAGCCCAAGTGACTTTAAACAAAAGGACAGGTCAGTTTGCAAATCTACACATCTAGACGAACATTTTGGTATATAATATATGGGGTTAACCCTTAAAACAAAGAAGCCTTATTGTTCACAAAGTTTCATGTAATAAAATAATATAGATGAATAGATATCTATGTATTCCTATTCCTAATGTAAAATAACAAAACATGTAGTTAAACGAATATTTTATAATGAATTCTACAGTAAAACCTCGTGGTACACAGCGTTGTCTCTTCCTTGCACGTTAGTTTCTAAAATGACTACAATAATTTTCATCAAGAATAAGCAGCATATGACAATGTGGCAGACCATATTTCTGGAAATCTATTTCATAAACCCAAGCAAGTACCACACCAAACACATTGATTTTTAGTATAATACTAGTGTACCTGTTGCTCGAATTCGAGCAATTGCATTAGAGGCGACTCAAAGATTATGGAAATACTCACAATCTACACAACAGTTAGATATAATCAAAATCTTTTGTAAATATATTTTTTTTTCAAAAAGCTGATCTTGTTTTTTTCGTGGTTTCTACAAATTTTTCCCTCTCATAGCCGCATTAGGTTGTCTATGATAACAATTATAAATTAAAAGAAAACTTTATTTCTATTTCTTCTACTTGGTTGTGTTCTATGACTTTTTCTATGTTTCCATTGTTTGCAAATCGGTTATTTCAATGATTGCTCAAGAAATGTAGAACAGTGTTAATTCAGTTTTATTTTTAGCCAATATCAAATTGTCCAGGATTTCTCACTCTTTTCCATTCCATACACCAACCCAAGTTTCGTCTACAGATGCAATATGCCAACGAATATCACCTATGTACAATCTCCAAGAAGTGGTAAAAAAGGCAGAAACAAACCCATACAATAGATATAAGTTAACTCCATAAAAGAAAAGAGTTACTGTGATAATAGGATTTTCCACTGATTTGGTAATAGCAAATTATGTTGCAAAACATGACACGATGCAGAAGAAAGTCCATTTTAAAATCATAAAAACCCATTGAAAATACTGTACTTCATTTTGACAAATTCAATAAATCATAATTTAAATATTAACAGCTGTCTCATTAAAAAGTAGAATTATGCATATGGTCGTAATGTAAACAAATCTGAAGAGGCAACTTTTAAGGCTTCTGGGGCAGAGTCCCAAGGGAATTGACCTAGTTCCTCTTTTGATGGCTCATCTACAGACCTAGACCTTTCTTTAGAGACCCCTACCAAGTTTCTACGCCCAGCCGTTCTCTCAAATTAGCTGTGACAAAAACCCCGTTTTTCTCCATAAGAATAACATGGGAAGGGAATTCAAAGGCCACTGGGGCAGAGCCCCAAGGGAATTCACCATGTTTCTCTTTTGATGGCTCATCTACAGACCAAGACCTTTCTTTAGACACCTCTACCGAGTTTCTACGCCCAGCCGCTCTCTCAAAATAGCTGTGACAAAGAAAAACAGTTTCAAATAAATATATAGATACTAAAAATCTCTTTTCAATTCATTAAGTTTGCCTATGAACACTCTAGAAACAATGTCAGGTCGATCCGCCGGGGTTTCGTTAGCCGTTAGAGATGACTAGATCTCTGGCCAATTCGGATTGTAGGTCATTGTTAGAAAAATACCAGGTTTCCCAAATGCTATACTACTATACGCTGTGTACTATATGCTGTTTGAAATAATTAATAAAAAAAGTTAAGACAGTAGGATATGAAATGAAATCAAATTAAATAAAAGTAATGAAAATAACTAACCATAATAAAGGCTGTCAGTAAAGAGCAAACTGACACACTCTGTCCCATTAGCATGACGATTACCTTTGAGTGCCAACGTCCGGGGAACCGGACGTTTTTAGAACGAGCCAAAAGTGCCAACGTCCGGCTGACCGGTTGTTTCGTAATGATCGAACAGTTGTCATAACAACCGAATGGATACTCGGATTCTTTTAACCCATATATTAACATTGAGTCGAAAGTTACTAGATGCGATACATTGATTTTCGTTGGTCGAAATATCGAAAATTCAATTTTTACGAAATTTTAACCTAAAAATCGCCAGATCGCGCTCGGCATTTTTAGCGCGACCTTCGGGAAAAATCATCGGCATTTTTTGAGCGTTACTTTTATTTCTCGCCTGGCACTCTAAGGGTTAAAATTAACACCCTACGACTTTTATGAAAGTAAAATGGGTAAGCGGTGAGAGTTACTTTAATTTTTATTGGGAAAATCACAAAAAACGGTGGAACCGTAAAATGTACAGTATTGAGGGGTTATGCAACTTTTTCAAGGTGAAAAAAAACTATAACATACATAATTGTAATTAAAATCGTTAGAGCAGTTGAAATGATAATAAGATTTTAGATTTTATGGTAAATCATCATTAACAATTAAAATATAAAAAAAATTTGCCTGAAAAATACCATGGGTACCAAATACTAAAATACCAATTACCAAATGTCAACTATAGCAGTAGTTTGAGCTCTGTATACATCCACACACACATACACACACACACACATCATTACAAAAACTTTTTTTGTTAAGAGGGTAAAAAAAATTGACATTTCCACCCAAAACTCCAACTCAAAAATCTTGGGAAAAAACAATGCTTTTTCTATATACAAGGGTCGTCCAAGAAGTAAAGAACGTTCTAGCTTGGTTAAATAAAAACATATCAACACCAAACTTTATTTACACAGCCACAGTATTTTATACTACTTTTCTAGTCCCCATTGTTGTCGAGAATTGTTGTAACATGAGACCAGTTTCTCTATTCCTATGTTATACTCATCAGCTGCGAAAGATCTGGGCCATATTATCACTGCTTCTATTAAAATCGTCATTTCCAAACTGTTTACCACCCCAAATATTCCTTCAACTCTAGAAACTATGAAAATCACTAGGTGCTAGGTCAGGGCTGTAAAAGAGGATGTATCAAGATTTCCCACTTCAGACTTTGAAGTTCTTGCCGCGTTCCTGCTGAGGCATGAAGAATAAACAAGTCTTAAAATCGCATCTACATTCAAAAAAAATCTTAAATATTGAATTGCAGCTAATTTTTAATATGAGAGCACTCGGTATTTTATGGTCTTTTTATAATGTATATGCCTTTTTAAGACTTTTTTATTCTTTGCATTTACCCTCTACACTTGCTCGTTTAGGAGCAAAAGGATGCAGAATATACACCACTTAAAGCCTTTTTTTCTTAGGTGCAACACGCTGTGACTCTAAAACGAGTAGCTTTAAAGAAAAGTTGTCAAGAATAAAAACGTTTTAAAAATTCATTTATATTCTAAAAAAATCATAAAATATAGGGTGTTTAAAAAAAAAACATAGTTGTCAGCATATATTTAAAATTTGAAACCAATCCAAATAACATCTTGAAAAATAAAGAGGAGTGTCCCATAAGAAGTTAACTCTATATCTCATAATAAATAAATGGTATCAGCAAACTGACACATACTTTCTCCCATAAGCTTGTAAACAACCTTTACCATGTGTAAGCGGTGGGAGTAACTATGATATTCTATAGGGCTAAATCACAAAAGTTGCAATAACTTATGAACTGTATTTGTTACAGCAATGGGGGTTGTACTATTTTTTTTTTAATTATAAGGACCATAACAAATTAATTTTAATAAAAACCGGCTTTTTTCCTAAATCCAATATTTTGTTATTTTATGGGAAATAACATAGGTAATTTACAATAAATTTTGAACCATACTTTTTACAAAAATTAGATCTGTACCATTTTATTAAACATTTTAAGGACCATAACATACAAATTTTAATCAAAACCCGGCTTTTTTTCTAAAATCCAATTTTTTTAAATGAGGTTTTTATGGGAAAATAACATAAGTTACAATAACATTGGAACCGTAATTTTAGCGGAAATGGAGTTAGTACCATGTTGTTCAGAATTTAAAGGACTATAACATACTAAATTTTTATCAAAATCGTTCAGGATGTTTTTGAGAACATCTTATTTTTCTGTTTTTTTTTTTATGGTTTGTATGGAAAAATTACCATTCAAAGTAAAAATTTTTAAAAAATGAAAAAAATGCCTGGGGATATAATGGATAAGTACCAAATTTCATCAAAATTGGACGACATTTGTAGTCTGTAGCTCTGTACCCACCCCCACACGCACACACACACACGCACACACACACACACACACACACAGACATCACTTTGAAAACCACTTTTTTGGGTTCAGGGGGACCAAAAACGGATATATCAACTCAAAACTCAATTTAGAAAATTTTGATGAAAACAATACTTTCTCCATATACCACGGTACCATGGTATAGGGGGAGAAAGTAAAAAGTTAGCTATTGGTTCACTTTTGGTGGGACACCGTTTATAACCAGTAATTGGAAAATTTTATTTGTGACAGATATGCATTCTAAAAATATATTTAAAATTGTAGATTTCCCTACTGCTAGTAGTACAGTAATGTGTTGTGTATGGGAGGCGCTGCATTCAGAACAGTGATGTGTTGTACAAGGTTTACGCTGAGGGCAGTACGATGATGTGTTGTGTATGTTAGGTGGTGCAGTTGTTGGATGACAACTTGAGGGCCACACCAGAGCACCAGCACCAGAGGAGCAGCTGGATATTCTAGAGTTTGACTTGGACACTGAGGCCAGGGAGGCGCATCTTGCAGTACAGTGATGTGTTGTATTTGATAGGTGGTGCAGTTGTTGGATGAAAACTTGAGGGCCGCACCAGAGGAGCAGCTGGATATTCTAGAGTTTGACTTGGACACTGAGGCCAGGGAGGCGCATCTTGCAGTACAGTGATGTGTTGTATTTGATAGGTGGTGCAGTTGTTGGATGACAACTTGAGGGCCACACCAGAGGAGCAGCTGGATATTCTAGAGTTTGACTTGGACACTGAGGCAAGGGAGGCGCATCTTGCAGTACAGTGATGTGTTGTATTTGATAGGTGGTGCAGTTGTTGGATGACAACTTGAGGGCCACACCAGAGGAGCAGCTGGATATTCTAGAGTTTGACTTGGACACTGAGGCCAGGGAGGCGCTGCTTGCTGACGCAGCGGCTGAGAGAGACAAGACTAGGCGGTTACTGGAGGCTGAGTGTAGGGACTGTCAGAGACTTGCTGAGGTCATCAGGACCAACACTTGGGACACCATGGCTGTTAAATCTAGGTGCATCAAGGTGAGTACAGTATACAGTTTACTAATGTTAAATTATCTGTTTTTAATGTTGCTTAGCACAACAAAATTACTTAAAAAGATTCTTTTTAAAATGAATGCAATCAAATTTCTCTTTCTTAAATTTGCATTAAAAAACTTACTATTTTTTTACTTACTTTTAAGCCTCTGTGCATTTAGTATTTTACACAGCGATCGCGTAAAGATAGTCTTTAGAACACAAGTAGAATATACCCCTGCCAGAGCAAACCTACAGACTTAGCAAGAAAAAGAAAATGCCCTTAAAATTGTATTTTTAGATTGATTTCCTATTGAAATAACATTAATTTTAATGAATATTAGGTTTGCTGCCACAGGGAAGGTAATAAGGAGTGTTTTTTAAAATTATATTTTAGTATGAAGTAAACAAATTCAATTGAAATATATTCATAAACACCTAACTTATAACAGGTTAATTATCTATCTATATCCATCTACAGGGTGTGGAAAAAACAATCTATTTTCTACAGCATACTGTCTGAGGGGGGTGGGAGTAGGCTCGTTGGAAAGCCTATTCAATACCATTATCTGTAGCCATAGAGCAATATTTACCTGAGCAACGTGCGTGTGTTATCAAGGTGAAAAAAAGTAATGAAAAGTAATGTAAAAAAAGTTCCGTGCACCCTTTAATTAGGGCGACATGGAGAGGTTCTGTCTCGATTATCTGTATGGATAGTCAATAAAATTAAATAGATTAATTCAAATTAATCTTTAGGGAAAAGAAATTAAGATCGAACCTCAACATCTCCAAGAATTGAATAATGTTTTATTAAATATAGCTTTTGTTGTTATGATTGTTCTGACTGATACATAATATCTTAATTTATTAAACTGCATGAGTGTATTTAAGACATCATAATTTATTGCATGTAATTTATGAAATCATTACATTCTCAACAATATTATAGATACTGTAGCTCATTTCATTCAATTTTTCAACGGCATACTCTTTGCATGGTATAAAGAATATTTTTATTTATTTTATGAGAATTTAATTTTTTCTGTTAGGACATTTTTTATAAGGTGCTACGGGCACGGGCAGGGGGAGGATGCGGGACGATGATTCACAACTGAGATGAAAACACACTTTTTGCAAACAATTCTTGCTTGGAGCTGGATAAAGGGTTTGAATGTGATGATTTTTTCAATGAAATTCCCTTAAATAATTCTCTTAAAATATTTCACACAAATATCAGAAGTTTCTCAAAAAACTTTGACGATTTATCGGTTTATTTACAATCTTTGAATGTTAATCTAGATATCATAGTCTTATCAGAGTGTTGGTTGAGCAGGGGGAGGTGGGTCACTTGGACGGGTTTGACTTAACAATGATAGGTACACAGAACAACAGGAATGACGGAGTCATTGTTTTCATTAACAAACGTCTGTCTGCTACCGTAACTCAATTCAACATTGTTCTGTATGTAGTTAGAACAAATAATAAATGTAATTGTCAAAGTACAATTTATTTTAACCAACTTTATTCAACACAAATTAAAAACAAAGTGAACAAGTAAACATTATAACCAGCTGATAATATAGTCAGAGAAATATAGGATATGACCTTAAAAAAATTTCAAGAAAACGTTTTATGGTTTTATTTTCTAGTGTTGGGTTTGCAGAATGACATACTAAAAGTTGCCAAAAATCGGTGCACGAGAAAACCACTAAAATCACAATTTAAAATGGCGGCTTTTCCCAACATTGGACAAATAAAAAAAAAATATTTCACATGCATTTGTTATGCACATTTTTCGAGATATTGACTTGGGACCACCACCTGTATGTATTGGGTGGTTAGTAGTTCATTTTAATAGGGAACACGTTTTTGGCCGCCATCTTGGATCCGCCATATTGGACATACATCATTCTTTTCAATGTAATGATAGTGTTGTGACACATCATTACAAACTACATTTTTACACTGATTTCAATGCCGAAATTCGTTTTTCAATATATTTTTTAATTTAGAAGATATACTCAAACGAAAACTCTCCCCCATACATTTCTTATGGACGTTTCGTAGTTTGATAATTTTTTTAAAACTATTTTTCTTATATCTCCAGTTCTTATTAATGCTTGCGGTTCGTTCTAGGCTTAAAATATTCAGTAATGTAAGAGCTTTCATTTAAGCTCTTGAGCATTAAAATCAGATGAGTTAAAGTCCAGCTATGAACGTCAGAACAATATTAAATTTAACTTTTTAGAAATATATTTTTATTAAAAGATTTATAACTCGGGTTGGTAATACGTCACCAAGTTCTTTCTGGTCTCAAATTACTCAGTAAATGTTTGGCTTTGATTTTATTAATCATTAACCAAAATATGACAATTTAAAAATGAGTCATGGACCTTAATTTAACATTAAAATGTGTACATTACGAACTTTGTATTTAGTTAAAGACGTATATTCCCAATTCTAAATAACTCCCAAAACTCTTATAGTCATAAATAATTCATCAAATTATTGACTTTTATTTTGGCTAAAGATTACTTATTGGTAGTTATTTATAATTAATTGGGGATATATATCTTAAACTGAAGACAAATTTCTAAATAAAACTAATTTAATGTTAAATGAAGGTCCAGGACTCACTTCAGATTTGCCAGATTTTATTTAGTGATTAATAAAATTAAAGCCGAACATTTGCTAAGTAATTAAATACCATAAATAACGTGGTGACGCCTTAACAACCCGAGATATAAATCTTTAAATAAAAACTAATTTCTAAAAAGTTAAATTCAATATTGTGTTGGGATTTGTAGATGGTCTTTAACTCGTCTGATTTTAATGCTCATGAGCTCAAATGAAAGCCCTTAGATTACTGAATATTTTAAGCCTAAAACGAACTGCAAGCGTTAATAAGAACTGGAGAAAAAAAAAATTTTTATTATCAAACCACGAAACGTCCATAAGAAATGTATGGGGGGAGGGTTTCCGTTTGAGTATATCTTCTAAATGAAAAAAGATATTAAAAAACTGATTTCAGCATTGAAGTTAGAGTAAAAATGTAGTTTGTAATGATGTGTCACAACACTAGTCAATATCTCAAAAAATGTGCATAACAAATGCATGTGAAATATTTTTTTTTATTTGTCCAATGTTGGGAAAACCCGCCATTTTAAATCGTGATTTTAGTGGTTTTCTCGTGCACCGATTTTTGGCAACTTTTAGTACGGTATGTCGTTCTGCAAACCCAACACTACAAAATAAAACCATAAAACGTTTTATTGCAATTTTTTAAAGATCCCTGTGTAAGTTTTTTTTAGTTTGCTTGGACTAATAGTTATAGAATAAATAAGCAATAAGTAAAGGTAGACATTTAGGATGTAACACCTCCCCTTAGTGAGTTTCATAAGTTAAGTCTATCGACGGGTTTATGTGTCCGTTTTGATCGTCTTACTGTCATAGCGGAAGCTGGTGCCACTGGAACATCTGATATGTTGTTACTGGTCTTTGGATCATCTGGTATGTTGGGATCATTGGCCTCTGGATCAATGTTGTGATAATTTGTTACGTGGTTTTCGGTTGTTTCCTCTCCGACTTCTCCAAAATTTGTTGGTATGAATACTCGATTTTGCTCATTCCTTAATGAAAACTCACACAAGTCCCGCCCTGAGCGTCTAATTTGGTCTTGATGTCGTCTGATTGGGCCACTGCTTGTGGTTATTTCATAATTTCTTGGTCCTTCTTTCCAACCCCCCATTTGTTGCATGTTCCATAGAGGCGGTAGGCGACAGGGTCTTGAGCTTTAAAGGACTTTTGCCTGTCACGGTCTTGAGCTTTAAAGGACTTTTGCCTGTCACGGTCTTAATCTTTAAAGGACTTTTGCCTGTCACGGTCTTGAGCTTTAAATGACTTTTGCCTGTCACAGTCTGAGTCAAACTTTCGGTTCACTTTTTGTGACAAATCAGGATACAATAAGTCAAGTCTTGATCGAATTTGACGTCCAATGAAGAGATGTGAAGGAGATTGTACTGTAGTAAGTACTATGTGGAGCTCTTCGATATGCCATTAAATATCTCTGCAATTTTATTTCGATAGAGCCTTCCTCAAAGTGCATGGCTCTGATGGTATCTTTCAAGTCTTGCACATAGCGTTCTACTTGACCATTAGTAGCAGGATGGTAAGGTGCTGATCTCTTGTGTCTAATTCCGTTGGATTTAAGAAATTTTTTAAACTCTAATGAAACAAATTGCCTTCCGTTGTCGGACACTAATATGTCAGGGATTCCAAAGGAGCCGAAGAATTTACGCAAAGCCTCAATGGTTTTATGTGAATTTATAGTTGTAAGTGTTACAATTTCTGGCCATTTACTATAGGCATTCAAAATTAGGAGAAAATAGTGGCCATAAAATGGTCCAGCAAAATCAACATGAATTCTTTGCATAGGCCTTGAAGGATATTCCCAATGGTGAACTGGTGCTTTGGGTGATTCATGCTGTACTCGTTGACATCCCAAACAATTTAAGGTCATATTCTCAATGTCTGCATCAATTTTTGGCCACCAAACATACGAACGGGCTAGTCCCTTCATGCGAACTATCCCCACATGAGCCTCATGAAGTTCTTTCAAAATTCTTGCACGAAGTTGTTTGGGAATCACCACAAGATTCCCTTTTAATAAGCATCCAAGCGAAGACATCGGGACATACAATAAGTCAAGTCTTGATCGAATTTGACGTCCAATGAAGAGATGTGAAGGAGATTGTACTGTAGTAAGTACTATGTGGAAGACATCGGGTGATGGATTGGCTCCCCTCTGATTAGTGATTGATAAATATCTCTAAGATCTGGACCAGATTGTGTATTTTTTGCTATTTCTTCAGCTGTGACAGGTAAAGTATAGATTTGTTCTATTTAATGAACATCGGCTGAGTCAATAACAACAGCTTCTTCAACATTTTTAGGTAGTCTTGAAAGTGCATCAGCATTAACATTTTCTTTGGTTGATTTATACTTGA